CCACAGTCTTCCCCTTGCGCAGCAAGGGTGATGTCACTGAGGTGTTGATCGACTGGATCCGCGCAGCTCGTCTCCAGCTCAGGAGGAGCTTCGGCTCGGACTTTCCTGTTCTGCGTCTGCACTCTGACCGAGGTGGAGAGTTCTCCTCTGGCCTTCTGCGAGCCTACTGTCGTGCACGAGGCATCCGCCAGACCTTTACGCTTCCGGACTCTCCACAGCAAAATGGGATTGCTGAGCGCCGCATTGGCATGGTCATGGACGTCGCTCGTACGTCCATGATGCATGCGGCTGCCCCCCATTTTCTGTGGCCGTTTGCGGTTCGGTACGCGGCGCATCAGATCAACCTTCACCCCAGGGTCTCCCGGCCGGAGACCTCCCCAGCTCTGCTGTGGACGGGGAAGGTCGGCGATGCGTCTGTGTTCCGTGTCTGGGGATCTCGGGCGTTTGTCCGCGACTTGTCTGCGGACAAGCTGTCCCCTCGTGCTGCTCCCTGTGTCTTCCTCGGCTTCCCCCCTGACGCTCCAGGGTGGCAGTTCTACCACCCCTCCTCTCGTCGTGTTCTGTCCTCCCAGGACGTCACGTTCGACGAGTCAGTCCCCTTCTACCGCCTCTTCCCCTACCGCACTCCTTCCCTCCCCCCGCCACCGCACTTCCTTGTGCCAGGTCCCCCCCCGGTAGACCCCCTTCCCCCTCAGGGTCCTGCCCCTTCAGGTGTGTCCCAGGTAGACGCAGTCGAGCCGGTCGAGGTTGCTGGTGACTCTGGTCCTGCTGCGGGTGCTGAGCCTGGGGGTGCTGAGTCTGGGGGTGCTGAGCCTGGGGGTACTGCGACTGGGGGTGCTGAGCCTGGGGGTGCGGAGTCTGGGAGTGCTGAGCCTGGGGGTGCTGCGACTGGGGGTGCTGAGCCTGGGGGTGCGGAGTCTGGGGGTGCTGAGCCGTGGGGTGCTGCTACTGGGGGTGCTGAGCCAGGGGGTGCTGCGTCTGGAGGTGCTGAGCCTGGAGCTGCGGAGCCTGCGGCCACTGGACCTCCCCTTGTGGCGTCTGGCGGTGCGGGACCTGGCGGTTCTCCGGGTGCTTCGCCTCGGCGGGAGCCCCTCTCTCCACAGGAGCTGCGCGAGTGGTTTGCCCGGCGCTGGAGGCGTGCTGCTGGAGCTGGAGGTTCTTCGGCTGCTGAGGGTGCTGGTGCCGCGGGTCCCGGAGGTGCTCGTACTGGGAGTACTGGAGCTGCTGGGCCTGCGGGTACGACTGGAGCTGGAGCTGCTGAGGGTGTTGACGCTGAGGCTACTGCTGTCGGTCCTGGAGGCGGTCTTGCTGGGGTGCTACTGGTGCTGCTGGAGGTACTGGAGCTGGAGGTGCTGCTGGCGCTGGTGCTGCCGCTGGGGGTACTGGTACTGTCCCTGCCGTGTCTGGAGTCGCCGCGCGGCCTCGGCCGTACTTCGTTCCGCTCCTTCAGCAGGTTCTTGGTCTCCCGCCTTCTACTGGTCCTCCTCCTCCCTTAGAGTGTCCACAGCCTGTCCCGTCACAGTTACAGTTACAGTCGGCCTCCCCACTGCCCGCTCCTTCTCCCTACACTGGTCCTACTGGAGGTCTGGCTGAGCGTCGTGAGCCTGCGTCTCGCCCTGCGTCGCCTGTCCGTCCTGGTCGCTCTAGTGGTCGTGGTTCGCGTCAGCGTCCTCCTCCTGTCCCTGGCACGCACCGGATGTCTCTGCGTCCGTCCACTGCTCCTCTGCGTGCCCCTTTGCCTTCTCCTCCTGAGTCCTCTCTTCCTGCTCTTCCTGACCCGGAGTCGGACTCTCTTCGTGCTGCCAGTCCTGCTGTCACACGTCTCCTTGCTACTGTCGTCACTGACCCCTCTTTTGTGTCCACTGCTGCGTCTGCGCTTGTTGCTGAGCTCGTCGACTTTGCTGCTCGCTGTCGTCTAGACTACGCTGCCGGTCTTGTTGCTGAGTCTGCTTCTGTCTGTCCTCCGTCCGTCGGGGGTGAGTGTGCTCTTGGCACGGACGTCCTTGAGGACAGGCAGGAGGAGTTCAGGTGTCTGGCTGCTGCTTCACCTCATCTCGCGTCCGTACTGCTTGCCCCTGAGGGAGACCCGGATGCACTAGACATCCCGACTCCGCGCTCTTACGCGGAGGCCGTAGAGGGTCCCTACTCCTCTCAGTGGCAGGCAGCTATGGATGCAGAGATGGCGTCCTGGAAGTCCACAGGCACCTACGTTGACGCGGTTCCCCCTCCTGGGGCGAACATCGTCAGTGGCATGTGGATCTTCAGGGTGAAGCGGCCGCCGGGCTCTCCACCTGTCTTCAAGGCGCGGTACGTCGCTCGTGGCTTCAGTCAGCGGCAGGGAGTTGACTACTTTCAGACCTTCTCTCCCACCCCGAAGATGACCACTCTTCGGGTGCTGCTGCACATAGCCGCTCAGCGCGACTACGAGCTCCACTCTCTTGACTTCAGTACTGCTTTCTTGCAGGGTAGCCTGCACGAGGAGATCTGGCTGCGCCGTCCACCTGGCTTCACTGGGACTTGTCCTCCTGGCACCCAGTGGAGCCTCCGACGGCCAGTCTACGGTCTCCGCCAGGCACCGCGTGAGTGGCACGACACACTGAGGACTACGCTTGCGGCTCTTGGGTTTGCTCCCTCTACTGCTGACCCGTCGTTGTTTCTGCGCACCGACACTTCTTTGCCGCCGTTCTACGTCCTCGTGTACGTCGACGACTTGGTCTTTGCCACAGCTGACACTGCTGGACTAGCCTACGTGAAGTCCGAGCTGCAGAAGAGACACACGTGCACAGACCTGGGTGAACTGCGCAGCTACCTTGGCTTGCAGATCACTCGGGACAGAGCACGCCGCACCATTACCTTGACTCAGTCACACATGGTGCAGCAGGTCCTTCAGCGCTTCGGCTTCACGTACTCCTCGCCTCAGGCCACTCCTCTGTCTACTCGCCACTCGCTCTCAGCTCTGCCTTCGGATGAGTCCGTAGAGTCGAGTGGCCCGTACCCAGAGCTTGTTGGCTGCCTCATGTACCTGATGACCTGCACACGACCTGACCTTGCATACCCTCTTAGCATTCTTTCACGCTATGTTGCTCCTGGGAGACACCGACCAGAGCACATGGCTGCAGCGAAGAGGGTGTTGCGCTACTTGTGCAGTACGTCGGGCATGGGGCTAGTGCTTGGAGGGCGGAGTCCAGTGGTCCTCACTGGGCACGCGGACGCTTCTTGGGCAGACGACCAGGCTACACAGCGGTCGTCGCAGGGTTACACCTTCAGTCTTGGTTCTGGCTCTGTCTCGTGGCGGGCTACTCGCTCGTCCTCTGTTCTCAGCTCCAGTTGTGAGGCTGAGATCTACGCCGGGGCCATGGCTGCACAGGAGCTTCGCTGGCTCACCTACCTGCTGACTGACCTTGGAGAGCCGCCTCGTTCTCCTCCAGTGTTGTACGTAGACAACAAGGCCATGCTGGCCTTGTGTCGAGAGCAGCGCTTGGAGCACAGAACGAAGCACATTGCTCTCCGTTACTTTCTTGCTCGTAAGCTGCAGCAGCGTGGTCAGTTGCGACTTGCGTACGTGGCCTCTGAGGCCAACACTGCTGATGTGTTCACCAAGGCACTTGCGCCTTGTGACCATCAGCGCTTCTGCACCCAGCTGGGTCTTGTACCTGTCTTGCCTCACTTGCTCTCTTCTTGACCTTGCTTGTACTGTCACATATATATACCTGCTCTTGCTTGTCTAGCTCTATATATATATGTGTACTCCTGCATGTGGACTGGCCCTGTTGCCCTGTCGTTGTGCTCGGACTGTGTGGTGACTTTGTGATCCACCCTGAGCTTGTTCTGCTTTGCTTGACTGGTCTTGTGACCCCTTGTTCTCCCCCACTTTGCCTATGGGGGTGTGTCAGAACATATATATAGCTTATGCTGTTGTGTAGGCTATAGTGGGGTATCCCATAGGGGGTACAACACAATTAGGGTTTCCCATATGTACTCACTTCATTCATAGTTCATTCATCCTCGTTCTACTTTTCTCAGTCCGCTGACGCCAGCTGCCACACAAAACTTCCGAAATCGTCGGTAAATCGCAGCGGAATAGTAACTCACTTTTAACGTCGCGACAGCTGCTGCTGCCCGTTGCCCGGGGGGAGGGAGGCGACGGTCGATCGCGACCGTTCGAGGCAAGGATCTGGCGGTGCCGAAGGAGTGCACGATAAAACCTTGGCCGCGAAGAGCAACTAACCCGTTCTCTTGGCCAGCCTACGCAACTCCTGGACCCCAAGGCATCCTTCCTCGTCCCCCCCCGAGGGGTATTAGACTCTAGAAAGCGGGGTAGGCTAGGAAAGTAGCTCTGATACCAGGTGTTATGATTGAACTTGCAGAGTGCGCAGAATAACGAATAACGAGAATGAGAATTACAGAATTACTGAATGACTGAACACACAAAGTGACGAGGCCTAAATAGGGGAAGTCCTAGCTAGGCGGGGGGTTCGGGAAAGGATGGCTCGGTGATGGTTGCGATTGGTGCGGAGGCGACTCGGGAGTGGTTCGGTGCGACGAAATAGGAAGGACAGGTTCGTCGCGTGACCCTCGGGATGGCCTCGATAACGAGTGCCTCAGTAAGGATTTGTAAATCCTTACACTGTACATCAAATTCCATTGTGTAACCACACCACACCCTCATTATGTTAGCAAGTACCGGTTAACAAACTCATGCAGAATTCTTATTCACAACAAGAACTTTATCGCACATTGAAACAATCTGCAACTGAGTATTCTGTGACATTTGGTTTAACCTGCTGGATGAACTGACTAGTGACCAACAAATCTTGGCCAGGATTTTGCACAACCAAACCAAATTGGTTGCGCCAGTCCCGCATATCCGTTGGGTCAAGGTTCTTATACCTTAACATCTGACATCATCAGAAGTTTTGAATGATGATGCGCTGCACCAACCTCAGACAGTCACATGGACATAGGGGATGGGGAGGGGCAGCATGCTCCTCAACCCCGACTTACCGAGCGAGGCAGTGTGTGGCAGCTTGGAAGAGGAAGAGGAGGGCAGAGTGCGGCATGGCGCAGAGGCAGGCGTGTGAGAGCAGGTGGAAGAGCAGGTTGGTGGAGAGAGGCAGGGTGGCGGGGTCGGGGAGGAGAAATGATAGATGCTGCAGGGTGTGCCTGCTGGGTGTTGAGGGGAGGGCGGGTGGGCGGAGAGAGACAGGGACAGAGACAGGGGAGGAGAAAGTGGAGGTGTGTTTGGGAAATAGGAATAGCGAGCAGAGGAGGCGAGGAGAGGAGTAGGGTGGGGGGAGAGACACATGGCCTGAACGTGAATGCGAAATGAATCAGAACAGTAGGCTAATGGAGAGAGGAGGAGGGGGAGTAGGGGGGAGTCGGACGAGAGATGACTAGATTAGATTTGAGTGGGAGGGGGCCGGCAAGTGGGGGCGAGAGAGGAGGAGAGGAAGCAATGTGTGGGAATGCATGCAAGAGACGGTGGGAGGAGATGACCCACGTGAGAAAGGAGATGAGGAGATGAGAAGGAGGACGCATGTGCAAGGGACAGATGAGCAACAATAAGGGCATCATACTGAATCAACATTCCATATCTCATCCCATCCCATGCCCTCCCTTCCCCTCCCCTCCCCTCGCCTCCCCTCTTACCCCCCACCCCTCCCGTCTCCTTCCTGCCCCTTCACCCCCGCGATTCTAACTTACAAAGAGATGAGCATGTGCAGGCAGTGCGGGCAGTGCGGGCAGTGCGGGCAGTGCTGCAGGAAGTGGTGGCGGCGCTGAGAGGCTAGCTGTGGCAGCAGCAGCGCATGGCTGGGCTGGGCGCACACGCGCTCATCTCTAGCAGTGATGCTGCCAGGGGGAGAGGAAAAGGGGGGAGGGGTGGGGGGAAGTGAGAAGGAGGGGGGTGAGAAGAGGAGGGGTAAGGATAAGGGGGGTGAGAAGAGGAGGGGTAAGGATAAGGGGGGTGAGAAGTGGAGGGGTAAGGATAAGGGGGGTGAGAAGAGGAGCGGTAAGGATAAGGGACAGGGAGAAGGAGAGCGCGGCGCCAGGAAGGAACGAGAGATTCGCTTGTATGAGCCCGGTGCCCTCCCCTCGTCCACTGCTGCTGCCGTGCTCGCTATCACCGTTGACAGGGAGAAGCTGGGAGGTGGGGGCCGGAGGGGGAGGGGGAGGGAGGAGGAAGGAGGGCCGGTGCTGTGTCCGATGCTGCTGCTGTGTTCGCAATCACTGTCGATAGAGAAGCTAACGAGAGGGAAGGGTGGGGGGAGCGGAGGAGAAAGGAGAAAGAGCTGGGAGCATCTGAACCGTGAAGCGTACAGAATGGCGTAACGCTAGTAACGCGTACTGGGAACGAAGCAAGGCTACTAACGCGTACAGCGGGTACTGGTGCGCGTGGAAGGCGCGCTGGCCGACGGTGACGACGAGGTCGCTCGCCATCCCCGCCACTTGCGCCCACTCGATCCTGTTGGTCGAGCAGTACAGTGCGGAAACTGCGTAACTCGCGTCGAGTGCGGAACCGTGAACACCAAGGAAAGCATGCTGTGCTGCTGGAAATCGGTGGAAGCGTTACACACGACGGCGCTTCCCATCCTTCTCTCTCTCCGCTATCGCGCGACCACGATAGACAAGTATTTCGTTTATAACGCTGTGCGATTCAAGGACGGACGCGCTCCGAAATGCGAGGAATGGATGAACGGCTCCGATTGTACCGATCGAGCTCGCCCTGGCGGATCCTCTCGTCTGGTACGCGCAGATGCAGATCCAGCGGAGCAGGAGGCAATGGCTGGCTGTACCACCCGATCAAAACTCGCCATGGCAACGCTGCGCTCTGCGGTGCGATGGGACAGCAGCACCGACATTTCCGCCGCTACTGCTTCGACGACAATATCGACGCGACGCGAGGCCAGGAAAAATCTGCTTTCACGTTCTCGCCTTGCGAATGGCATAACGGATTCCTTGCTGCTGCTTGCTTTCTCTTCGCTCAACTGAAGACTCGTCACCAGGCCTGTCGAAGTTACTGGGGCCCATACTTGAAGTCCCCAGCTCCTCCCTATCTGACCATGTTTTGGCCGTAGCTGAGTGTTAGGCGCCCTTAAAACCCGCGGGCCACAGTTTTCAACCTTAGGAAGGTTGGTTGGGGAAGGGATAGGCGAATGGTCCGCGAACACAGGAAGTGTCGAAAATAACAAACCATGTTCGCGGACCAGGGCAGCCTCGCCAAGGTTACCCGAGTCCGCGTGCGACCTCAACACCCCCAACCACAACGTCGCCCAAAACCTAATGCGACGTGCGTGAACAACACCACTCAATCCAAGCGTACTTGTCCAACACCCCGTCTCCCCTAGATAAGTAAGCCGCGTACCTTGTACTTGTCCGCGTCACTATGTGCAAGTAGCGAAGACCTCTCGTCACTCTGCTAAAGTAGGAAAGCCCAATCGACCAAGCTAAACATTGCAAACTCGTGACAGAGACGGAGAAGTACACAACCGTGCGCGACGCATGTAGCTGCGACATTGGTGCCATCGTCACACTTCTCGGCCTCGTTGTGCAGGTGCGTTGTGACCACGGCGCGAGATCCCTAGCACGCATACTAGGACGGGAATGACCGCGATTGCGGGTTTCCTCTGGCCGCGCGCTTGTGACTAAACGGTACCCCGTTCCACACGCCATAAATCAATGCGCGTCACGCCGCAAATCATACGGGCTGCACGGCGATTCTCCGTTAGCCACACCGCGATGCCGATTTCCTCACATGCCGTCGCCAATATCCAAGCCCCGCGAACCCCGTCTCCTCACTCGGAGATACACAAGGCGCATTTCCTGACTCATTACGCATGAACAACCATTCCCGACTCGATCCCTGTCCCCCACGCCAATCCTCCCTTCGTCGCACGCCAATCCCCCCTTTCAACCCGTCGTAGATCTTCACTTCCCCCTCCCGTCGCCTTCCCTTCCCCCTCCCGTCGCCTTCCCTTCCCCCTCCCGTCGCCTTCCCTTCCCCCTCCCGTCGCCTTCCCTTCCCCCTCCCGTCGCCTTCCCTTCCCCCTCCCGTCGCCTTCCCTTCCCCCTCCCGTCGCCTTCACTTCCCCCTCCCGTCGCCTTCCCTTCCCCCTCCCGTCGCCTTCACTTCCCCCTCCCGTCGCTCTTCACTTCCCCCTCCCGTCGTTCTTCACTTCCCCCTCCCGTCGTTCTTCACTTCCCCCTCCCATCGTTCTTCACTTCCCCCTCCCGTCGCTCTTCACTTCCCCCTCCCGTCGCTCTTCACTTCCCCCTCCCGTCGTTCTTCACTTCCCCCTCCCGTTGTTCTTCACTTCCCCCTCCCGTCGTTCTTCACTTCCCCCTCCCGTCGCTCTTCACTTCCCCCTTGTGTAACACCCCGCCCAATCCCGTCCCCACACTGTAATGCCAGCTCCTCACCACTCCCCACCGCATTCTACTCCCCTTCCACGCACTCACAATCCGCCTCGCGGGATGAAATCGTTACAAGCGGGAATATCACCCTCACACACCGCAGGTCTTTCCGGGTCACTCTGTCTCCCCTCTTCATGCTCTTCCCCCCTTGGAATTCACTTTGTTTCACTGCACGCTTCACCCCCTTCGATGGGGGCCCCTCCAATTACCATCTCTCCCGCTCCCATTCCCTTCAACGACGGGGACCCGCCCCATCCCCCTTCTCCCCAGCGTCCAGTCCCCCACTGCCCCCCGCCCTTTCCTCCACTCCCATACGCCCATTCCCCCACTCCCGTCGTTCTTGCCCTATCCCCCCCTCCTCCAATACTCCTCCCTCCTTCGCCCCTTTCCCACACAGTTTTCCTGCCTTTCCCCAACGCCACCCTTACCTTTCCTAACGCACCTCCCTTCCCCGCGATACCACCCTACCACCCTGAATTTCCCCTACCAACACCCTACCACTCCCCCATTCATACCCCCCCCCCCCTTCTCCCGCTCCTACCCTCTCTTTCCCCCACTCCACCTCGTCCCTCCCCGCACAGCCTCCGGCCTTTCGGTTACTTCCCCGGTCCAATCCCCCACTTCCCCTACGACTTTTACCCCACCCCCTCAGGGCCACACCGCCTTTTCACCAGGCATGCCACGCACCTCCCAACGCGCCTCACCCTGCTAACCATGTCAACCTCCCATCCCCCCTGCTACCCCTGTCATCCTCCCATCCCCCCTGCTACCCCTGTCGTCCTCCCATCCCCCCTGCTACCCCTGTCATCCTCCCATCCCCCCTGCTAACCATGTCAACCTCCCATCCCCCCTGCTACCCCTGTCATCCTCCCATCCCCCCTGCTACCCCTGTCATCCTCGGTCAGCGGCGCTGTATCGGAGACGCAGGCGGGAATGAGCAGCGATACCGATGAGGTGGGGGGGGGGGGGGGAATCGCAGGGAGTGGGGGCGGTTGAAGGGGCAGTGAGTGGGTGCGGCGGAATGATTGATAGTGGCCAGTTATGCGGTGAGCGTGAGGAGTGGAGCATATCGCCAGATGCGATGTGTGAGGGGAATTCACGCTCACCTTGCCACCACCGCCTGTGCTCCCTCTCGCAACGAACCCCGCACCCATCACAGGACTTACCAGAGTTGGTACCTGCATAATATTTCTCCTCGTCCACCTCGCCGCGAACATCTCGACCATTTTCCACAATTGGGGATGTGTGGCGTAGGGGAAGGGTACTTACTCGTATGCTTATAGAGTCGTTCTTAACAATTATGCGCCGACGTGATGCAGGCGATGGTGCGGCAGGACCGGGGGGACCGGAAGAGGCAATGGGGACAGAGGCAGGGAATTGGGTGGTGACGGAGGGCAGGTGGGGGCGGGGCAGGGGGAGGCCACGTGTTGGGCGGGATAGCCGAGCGAGCGGCGGCTGAGGGAGAGTCGATACCGGGCAGGTATGGGAGCCAAATGTCCCCCAAACGTGCTCTGTCTATGCTCGGCCACACACCCACGCTCTTCTGGTTCTCTTCCCACGCACGCAGCTTGCTCTTTCCTCCATTGCTCTATCGCACACCGTGCACTATCTGTCCTTTGTTCACTCACACACCTGATGCCATCCGTGTCATGCACTATGTTTCCTCATACGCTGTCCTCTCTATTATTATGTCGATCCTAAACAGCATAATCACCTGGCTCGCCTTGTCCTCCGTTCACTCTCCACCCGTGCCATTTCTCCGACCTGCGGGGATTAGGTGCTTTGCTCAACCCGCCTTGCCCTCAGCGACGCCTTAGCCTTGGGCCTCTCAACATACATTCGCCGCCCTTCAGCACTCTCGTCCAACTATGCATATTCAGGTCGTCTCGGTCATCCGTATGCACGAATCCTAACAGCGAATGTGTGTGTGCGGAGAGGCTAACGCGTTTGTGCGGAAAGGCGAATGCGTGTGTGAGAAGAGGCGAATGCGTGTGTGCGGAGGGGCGAATGCGTGTGTGCGGAGAGGTGAATGCGTGTGTGCGGAGGGGTGAATGCGTGTGTGCGGAGCGGCGAATGCGTGTGCGCGGATTGGCGAATGCGTCCGTGCGAAGTCGCGAATGCGTGTGTGCGGATTGGCGAATGCGTACTTGCGGAAAGGCGAATGCGTGCGTGCGGAGGGCGAACGCGTGTGTGCGGGGTGGCGAATGCTTGTGAACACAGTCCCGAATGGGTGTGTGCGGAGAGGCTAACGCGTGTGTGCGGTGCGGCGAAAGACGAATGAGGGAGAATTCGTTCCGTATTACCCGGCAATGTGCCTCGCTCTGGAGGTTACGCCTGCCTACCTGCGGAAACTTCGAGGTCGCGTGCCAGTGCAATGGCCTAAACTGGCAACTAGGCTGGTTGATCGCGTCTAGCTAGGCGTCTTAGAACTCGGGAATCTGCTGAGCCATTTTGGGACAAGTTTTTCTCCCCTGGGTTCACATGTCTCGTCAGGTTGGATTCTGGCGATCAATTTGTGCGATGAAACCCAATTGATTGGTGTCGCTGCTACAGTGTTTTCATCTGGCCTTTGCAGGCGACAGGGTTTGTGGGTAGTCAAACAAGGCTCAGTTGGAAACCTGGTAACACCCAACCAAGCTTAGGAAGTATGAACCAAATTTGGGCTTCTTGACCCACGGGTTTTAACGGTCACGGGCGCAAGCCAAAGTGAAAACTTGATATCCGGGCTTGCACTTACACTATCTTAGCTAAGGGAAAGCTCTGCTGCTCCAAAGCTAACTTTGAGATATCACAAACACGGGATTGGCTAGAAAACGCTAAGGGAAAAATTTCCCTTGGCTCGCTCTCGTGCAACCTAAGGAGAAAGGGGGGAGAAGTGGGGGGGTCAGGCATAATTTCTTTGGGGGGGGGGGGGGTCCTAGAACCGGAAATCAAAACTTTTTGGGTGGGGAAGGCCTGATTGGAGCACTTAACGCATCCGGGGAAGGGTCGAACGAAGCACTTAGTGGCACGGGTGCAGGGCGATCCTAACACTTTATGCAGTCGAGCTGGAGCGAAAGTAGCCCGGAATTTCAGGGCATTAAGGGCATATGCCCGTCAATCGACAGGCCTGCTCGTCACGCTGATGAATAGGGATGCTCACGCTTTCAATTGAACCGAACATTACTCTTCCGTGCCACATCGAACCGACCTCGGCTCACTATTTGGGTTATAGAACATGTTACGAATAGTAATACTTGAATGTTACTGTGCACTCCTCACCGCAGCAAAGAGAAGCACGCAGTATCGCGAATGAATGCGAAGCGTCAGACGGTTGGAAACGACCCGAAGCGTCAGACAGTTGGGACGCATCTGAACCGTCGGAGCAGACAGCATCAGGGAGCTGCAGTCAGGATGGTTTCGGCGGGAACAGTTTCGTAACTGTTCGCGCCGCACAGTTGGGAATGTATTTGAATAAGGGAATGTACCCCTTAGAGTACATGGCTAGCTAGGTCGATTCATATTCCCCTGTACTCTTATTTATATCGTTGTATCTGCATGTCTTAATTATCTCAAGCATTTACATTCACTCTGCTATTGAGGTCAAGAGCCCACCAACATCACTTCTCTGCGTGCGAACCTTCCAGAGTAGATCCTAGGCCACGATCAACTTCTGATCTCAGCATGGTATGAGAGCGACTCAGGAATCCTTCGCATCGCCATCTCCAAAATCTGCGACATTCGGAAAGTGGCGTCCGGCACACGATCACGTGTAAGAATGGCCGGAGGATCTGGAGGTCAGACGAATCTGACGGCTGAAGCGCAGCCCAACCCGGCTGCGACAAACGAGGAAACAACGACGATTCCTTCCGCCGTCCTCGCACAACTGCTTCAGCGACTCACGAGCCTGGAGCAAGGGCTCCAGACATTGCGGAATGGCGATGCGGGAACTTCTTCCCAACCCACTCAACCGGCCCCAAATGGCCAAAACCCCGCCCCGCAAGGCTTCTCCCTAGATACGAACGGCTCAACCCCCAAGACTCCCTGTCCCAGCGATGAAGCAATTCTCTCCGCGCAATCAAGGTTTTTTAGCATATCAAAAATAAAGACAAGTGTGTGCTTTGACGGCAGAGACTTTTACACCTGGAGCTTCGAGCTGGAGCTGCTGCTGCAAAACGCGCAGATTTATCATTATTTCGACGGGAGCTACTCGGGACCTGCTGAGGACACCGACGACGCAAGGACTCGCTATTATAACGAGTCCCTGATGGCGTACGGGATTCTTCTGCGTAACATGTCGCCGGCGGAGCAGCTGAACATTCGTTCATACAAGACATCGACTGCCCCAACCCTCGACGCTTGGCGCCACCTGAACGGCGTGTATCAGCCCAAGGACTCCGTCTCCTCGAGCCGACTACTCCAGCAACTGCTGGGAACTAAGATTACCTCAGGGGAGAAGGTCAACAGCTACATCAACCGCTGTCGGAGCCTTCGCGATCAAATCGTGAAGTTGGGAAGCTCAATTTCCGAGGAAATCTTCGTGAACATTGTGCTTCAAGGGCTTGGCCCATAGTGGCGGCCCTGCAAGGCGCTCCTCCGACAGCAGGGGGTCATCTCGGAGGCCGCCCTTTGCGCCGCCCTCCTCGTCGAACAACGGGATATGGATCAGCAGCGACCAGCGCCACGACGAGAACGCGAACGGCTCGCCTTCTACGCCGACAACAACGAAGAGCGACGACCGCGGCGCCTCTACTGCAAAATCTGCAGAAACTTCGGGCATTTGGCGGATCGATGTAAGTTCCGATCTCGCCCTCGCCAGACCAATCCGAGCAACTGGTCCGGCCGACAAGACGCACGAGGCGACGTGCGTCCAGCCCAAGGGTATCAACCCCCACCCGCGCGCAATCTGAACTCAACCGTTCAGCATCAGCAGCAGCAGCCATCAACTGCCCCTACGCGCAACGTCATGAGCAACATGGCCATGACAGGCGAGTCACGTCGTCGCCGTGCTCGCTCACCCTCACCTGAGCCAGCACCGCACCCCATCGGCGCGTTCACCAGCAACAACCCGTTCAGCCCGCGCCGCGACTACAACGACGACGACGACCAGGACTGGAACCTCCCAGTCCCGCTGCTTGAAAGTCCCCTCCACATACCAGACATGCGGGTGGCGCCACTTGATTGGCTCTCGCGCGAGCAATTTCTGAAGTTTGACACCCCGCACATCGTCACACCGCGATTGGCGCTACTCGCACGTGACGACAACAAGCGCTACAACACCTGGTACCTGGACAGCTGCTGCGGCCAGCATATGGTGGGCTCCGAGCGTTACATATCCAACGCCGTCCCCACCCCTACAGTAACTTACGTCACTGTGGCGAACAACACGCGCCTGCGCGCAAGCGCACAAGGCATCGTCGTGCTCAAAGCACGTGGAAGCCGCACGCACATCACGCTTAACGATGTGCTGATCGTCCAGAACCTGCGCTTCAACCTCCTGTCCGCCGCACAGCTCATGGACTACGGCGTCGACCTCAGCACGGATCGCGAGACAGGAGACATCCTGCTGCACTACGAATCGAGCACATTTCCCCGCAGGCAGATCGGACGAGCGCACTCCGAAAATGGAGTGTATGTCCTAGATTTCGACATTCCCGACTGCAGCGGCGACTCGCACGAGTTGATTGATCTCGTGCCACTGCGCTTCGAGCACATCCACCGCAGGGATTGGAAGCACCCTGACGGCAGACCGTGGGTGCCGCATCATCCCCACCCACGCGAAACGGCGTTACACAACCCCGATCCAGATGGCATCTGTAGGGATTGTTACACGCCGACGACATCAACGA